CTCTACACATGTGATTCTTAGGTCTGGCATTGTCTTAAAGCAGGCATTGAAAGGACAGATGGTTTAGAACAAGCATATGACAAGAAAGTAAAACTAGGTCAAAGGATATGTATATCATATTAGTGAAAACAAAAATAAAGAGAAAAGGAACCACAGGGGAAATTTCCAAATGTTTCCACTATAGCTTTTTTTTTTTCACTTAAGGAGCAAATGCTCTCAAGACATTGCCAACAGATTAAGAACTTGGGTTCTGGAGTTCCTTAGGAAAGCTGATGATGTGCAAAGCCCTAGTAAGAGATAAGCGTTGAACACAGGCACTTAAGGGGAAAATGTATGTTTTAATATGCATGAAGTTAACGTAAATAGTAGGAAGCAATTAAATCATTACTTTGCTTATCCTGACAACAGTGCAATTCAAGAAATCATCACTGTGATTGATCCTTTCTTCAATGCTCTTTTTACATTTTCTGATATCTTACAGGGAAAACAACATATACCAGTGATGGCGAACCTATGACACCCGTGTCAGAGGTGACACGCGAACTCATTTTTTTGGTTGATTTTTCTTTGTTAAATGGCATTTAAATATATAAAATGAATATCAAAAATATACATCTTTGTCTTACTATGGTTGCAAATATCAAAAAATTTCTATATGTGACACGGCACCAGAGTTAAGTTAGGGTTTTTCAAAATGCTGACACGCCGAGCTCAAAAGGTTCGCCATCACATTATATCCTATCCTTTAGTCCAAGTTTTAGAAGATGGCTATTTGAAATTTTAAAATTTATAAACAATACCATTTAATCATTTGCAAATTTCCCTTCATTAAAGATAATTCATTATTAATATAGATTGAAACATTCCTGTGACCTAGTCTGATGATTTTTAAACCTCTTAATATTTTTTGCTCTTTAACATTCCCCTCTACATCTTGCAGTAGACACCTTTCAAGTTATGTAAAACATTTAAAATATTTTTGCATTATCAATGACAGAAGAAAAAACAATATCATGGCAAATCTAAAAATAGATAAGTAAAAGAAAATTTTAAAAAAGAACAAGCTCCATACCTAATTCGGAATAAAAACCAAGCTGATGTTACTTAATGTTAAAAATTAGAGTCACTTAGAAAAGGTGGGAAAATTGTTTAATAGCTTCAGGTGCTAAAACATTCATGGCTCTTTAACATCATTTGAGCTATTTATTCAGCTACTTGACAGAAATTAATCACCAGCTCTAAATTTAATCCTAAACCTTTAGGCCAAAAGTGGCAAACAAATGAACTTTTGTAAATAGAAGCAGACAAGTCCAATCTTAGTAAACTTCTCTATTGTTCTAAATTAAGGGCAGGGTTTGAGAAAGGAAAGATCTGCAGTAGAGCACATACAAAATTAAGGTGAAAAGTGAATGACATAGTTAGCCAAAAAAATAGAACAACTTTGACTTCTTGCATAGAATATGCCTTTTACATTATTTAGATATTGCAATGTCCCAGTAATGGGAATGTGGGGCTGTGACGCAGCAAGGAAGCAGACAAGAAAATTCACAGAGAAAACATATCTTTGTGGAGGTAAATAAATCAATTGCCCTCCACTGAATAAACACAACTCAGGTTTTCTTAGATTACTCTTTTCCTAGCTATCTACGAAAGTAGCAACACCTTTACCTTTTAAGATTAAGTTGTCAGTTCTTATGACAGATTTCTGTACTCCTAAGTTTGTAGAAGAGGGGGTGGGGAGATGTAAGGCAGCATTAAATTCTCTACCAGAGGGTGCTGCTCTCTTCATAATTCAGACTTTCATTGTCCAGGGGGAAAAGTGGATACCTAGTCTGAGTGTATGGAATCCTGACCCAGCTTCAGATTGTTAGAAACTGTAAATCATCACACCTGATACGTATGATTCACAATCTGATGCTGCTTAAGCTAAGGCAATTAGGAAAATAGTGTTTTTTTTCTTTATTGATTAAGGTATTACATATGTGTTCTTATTCCCCCATTGCCCCCCACTCCCTGCTCATGCCCTCACCCCCCTAGTGTCTGTGTCCATTGGTTATGCTTATGTGCATGCATACAAGTCCTTTGGTTGATCTCTCCCCCTTAGCCCCACCCTCCCCTGCCTTCCCTCTGAGGTTTGACAGTCTGATCAATGCTTCTCTGTCTCTGGATCTGTTTTTGTTCATCAGTTTATGTTGTTCATTATATTCCACAAATGAGTGAGATCATGTGATATTTATCTTTCTCCAATTGACTTATTTCACTTAGCATAATGCTCTCCAGGTCCATCATGCTGTTGTAAATGGTAGGAGTCCCTTCCTTTTTACAGCAGCGTAGTATTCCATTATGTAGATGTACCACTGTTTTTTAATCCACTCATCTGCTGATGGGCACTTAGGCTGATTCCAAATTTTAGCTGTTGTAAATTGTGCTGCTATGAACATAGGAATGCATATAAGTTTTCTGATTGGTGTTTCTAGTTTCTTGGGATATATTCTTAGAAGTGGGATCACGGGGTCAAATGGGAGTTCCATTTTTAGTTTTTTGAGGAAACTCGGTACTGTCTTCCACAGTGGCTGCACCAGTCTGCATTCCCACCAGCAGTGCACGAGGGTTCCTTTTTCTCTGCATCCTCGCCAGCACTTGTCATTTGTTGATTTGTTGATGATAGCCATTCTAACAAGTGTGAAATCGTATTGCATTGTCATTTTGATTTGCATCTCTCGGATGATTAGTGACTGTGCATGTTTTCATATGTCACTTGGCCTTCTGTATGTCCTCTTTCCAAAAGTATCTATTTAGGTCCATTGCCCATTTGTGATTGGGTTGTTTATCTTCCTTTTGTTAAGTTGTATGAGTTCCCTGTAAATGTTGGAGATTAAACCCTTATCGGAGATAACATTGGCAAATATTTTCTCTCATTCAGTAGGCTTTCTTGTTGTTTTGTTGATGGTTTCTTTTGCTGTGCAGAAGCTTTTTATTTTGATGTAGTCCCATTTGTTTATTTTCTCTTTAGTTTTCATTGGCCTAGGAGCTGTATCGGTGAAAATATTGCTTCGACATATGTCTGAGATTTTGCTGCCTGTGGATTCCTCTAAGATTTTTATGGTTTTCAGTCTTACATTTAAGTCCTTTATCCATTTTGAGTTTATTCCTGTGTATGGTGCAAGTTGGTGGTCTAGTTTCATTTTTTTTTGCATATATCTGTCCAATTTTCCCAACCCAGACCATACCGTGTTCATGGATTGGTAGAATCAACATCATTAAAATGTCCATACTACCCAAAGCAATCTATAGATTCAATCAATTCCCCATTAAAATACCAATGGCATATTTCAGAGATCTAGATCGAACTCTCCAAAAATTCATCTGGAATAAGAAAAGACCCCGAATAGCTGCTCCGATCCTGAGAAAGAAGAACAAAGTAGGAGGGATCTCAATACCAGATATCAAGCTGTATTACAAAGCCACTGTTCTCAAAACTGCCTAGTACTGGCACAAGAACAGACATATAGACCAATGGAATATAATAGAGAACCCAGAAATCGACCAAACCACTATGTTCAATTAATATGGAAGATAGTTTTTAAGTGATCTTAGTCTTGATTAAGATTTCTAAGCCCCCATAAGAGCACTTAGTCTGACAATTGCTGAAGTACAAATAAGGCAGTAGCAGCTATAGTAAAAGCAAATGCTATAGAAAGGGATTATTTTTTTAAATTACCTCATCTGTCAATTTACCATAAGAGACATATGGTAAAATTAAAACTAAAGGTCACAGGCTGTTTTAGATACATGGACTTAATTTAGAGAAAGTCGTCAACAACTTAGTTTATATTCATTATAATCATTTCATTTAGGAAATCTCCAAAAGGCAAATGGAACTTTTGAGCCCATGAAAGATTAATTTTTGTCACTTTAGCCCTGGAGTGGCTTGAGGTCAGAGAAATAAAATGATCATATGTTAATAGCGGTTTATCAACCCCTGTCCTTGAAGAACATGACAATGTTTACCTAAAATTTTGTTTTACTATGTCATATATAGGATGTGTGTATGCAAGTGTGTGCTTGTGTTGGCCCTTGAAAACCACTATGTCACTTTCCCAAAATTAATTTCCTAAGGCCAGGAATGATTTCCTGATCATCTTCAATATGGGTACACAGCAATGTTTGTTAAATAATTCATTTCCCAGCCTTTTTACAACCCTCCTGATTCTCCTTGAAGCAATAATCTTTCTGACATCTACCTTGACTAATTACTTCTTCTGTATTCTTGACATGTAATCTCTCCAAGCCTCAGTTTTTAATCTGTAAACTGGAGATGATAATATAAGTTTACATATATGGTAAAATTAAAAGGCATAAGCAAATAAAATGCACATTTAAAAACAAAGTACCAGACATATATATCATTAAGACAAAGAATAAAATGTAAAAACAAGAAAAAAGAGGAGTATAATAAGAATATAACAAGGAACAGAAAATTTGATTTTCTCAAGCTTTATTTCCTGGTATTTAGTGTGTCAGTTTTGAAATCTTGACCACCTAGCAAATTTGAATGAAAAAAGTAATACCCTTTGGTAATACATGAGACACCTAAGTGAAATATAATGCTACATTCAAGAAACTGAAGAGAAATAAAGGTAATATTCAAAGTAAATGACTTCTAGAGTTTTAAAGGTCCTCTAACCCAAACTAGTTTCCAGATCTTACTTCATTATTTTTTCTCATTTCCTTTTGGTCTAATTAATCAAAATCCCTCTTGAAATTTCTGGCCAGTATTTCTTCCTACATATGAATAAGAAATAAAATGCCATTTGATGTTTGAAATTATGGGGGTAATCTCATTGACGACAATAGATGACTGGTAAAGGGAAGGAGATACTTATTAAAAACATTCATAAAGATGTCAAAGGTTTATAAAGCCAATATCTGGGAAAGAGAAAGCTGTGGGACTACCAGGTCTTCTCTGGCGAACGGTGTTTCCAGAAATTATCACCACCATGGACAACAAAGGGTTGTCACTGACAGGTATGTACAGCAACTCACTGAGTTGTTGGCTTTATCAACACTTCTTTGAGGGTATGAATCTGAAATTTTAGCTAATATTCTCTGAGCAATAGGTTTCAGGTTTACAGAGTTTAGAAAAGTAATCTAATCACTGCTCTGTAAAGCAATTGTACAAGGGCACAATAGACTAGAACAGTGGTTCTCAAATGGATGAATCCTTCTTCTAGGGACACATCTTAATGTCTGGATATGTTTTGGGTTGTCTTAACTGGCGGGTGGAGTGTTACTGGTACCTAGTGGGTAGAGGTCAGAGATGCTGCTAAACAAGCTACAGTGCACAAGAGAGCCTCTAGAACCTACAGACAGGGTCCTTTCTAAATGACAGAAACTCAGTTCTCACAGTTCTAGAGGTTGGAGTACAAGGAATTATCCCGCTCAAAATGCCAATAGTGCCAAGGTTGAGAAACCCAGGACTGGAATAAGACCAAAGGATCTTTAGGTCTAATTTACCACAAATCCAGAAGGCAGAGATTAACATTTTCTGGTTCCCAGGTCTCTTACATGATTTTCTCAAGATGAGTCAACCTGTTGAAGTTTGAACTCTGAAGCCATAATGTAGACAATATCTGTAGATAAAATATCCAGCTACATTTCATGACAACAATGTACAGAAAAAAAAACATTTTGGAAACACATTTATTTAAAAAAATTAAATGTCTGTTTTATTAATCACCTCACAACATGAATATTTTTATTGTGCAGCTAAAAGTTATTTAGGTAACATATTTTAGATATTTTTAAGTATTTTGGTTTAGATATTTTTTACACAGAAATCTTTAGCACTTGCCTAGTTTTATCTCATACATATCCACTTACATTTATTGAATATTTCTTAAAATTTTAATTTTCTGATCAACACATTTTAATACCAGATATTCTTTTGGAGTCTTTGCTATTAAAAGTCTTTGCTATCGTTTCTTACCTTTTGAAAGTGTAAATTATTGATATGTTATAGGTCCACATCTATCCATCTACTGAAAGGACAAATTGATGACTAAATCGTCTTGGATAATTGTCAAATATTTTAAAGTAGATGTTTTATAGACGGAGCAGGAAAAAAATGGGTAAAATAAACTTTCTAGGGCCACTGTTATCATGCAATCAAAGGTCAAGCATTGTTCTTTAAATGTAATGGCAATGGCCTCTGGAAGCACTGAGTCATCATGGCTACTGATTGTGTGTGATGGGTGGGACATGAGGAAGTGACAAGATGACAGTATGGGCATCCTCCACCTGCTCATAATGGGATTTAGGGAGAATCCCTTAAACTCGCTAAGCCTCTGGTTCATCAGTATAATTGGATGATAATAATGAAGGCCGAGACTATCTCACTGGGCTATTGTGAAACAATTTTTTTTAAATGTTAAAAATTTTGTCAAAGTGGCAAGCAGATGCATGGGGTTTTTAAAGTGAGTTAGCAGATCTAGTCTACAGCATCATTTTTGATGTTAGAATTCTCTTCATATTCAACATTAGCAATCAGTCAGGCATGTGTTTATTCTTATCAGTCAAGAAGGTGAAACAAACAGATCAACTGCCATTTCAGTGTCTAAAATGCAAGTATTAGTCAATATAGTATTAAACAAAATTTACAGGGGACCCTTTCCCCCTCCCCACTTGGGAGTCTGTACTGTTCTTCAATAAATCTCCACCTTTGCTATACCAAAAAATAAAATAAAAAATTTACAAACTCTAAGAGAGCCAGGCTGCCGAAAAGCTGCAGAAACTCCCAAGGCACTAAACTATCGTATGAGAATGACCTAAACACTCTGGCTCAGAATTAATTTAAGCTCCAAATGCTTACAAGTTATAGAGGCACTTCTGGAAGCAGTGCAAACACGCAGGGACTAACCTACTTTTCTGACTATATATCTGTGCAAATATAATTATATATGTACATTTACACAGCAGAAAGTGTTGATTCTTCCCCACCCCAGCTATTAAAGTACCAAATCATGCTGAGGGCAATGTGGAGAGATAAGGCTGTCTTCCACAAGATGACTTTCGATAACCTCAGCTGAACAGATCATCTGAGAACGGCTCCTGTTTCTATTTAAGGAGGGCCGTTCCTGCTGGTGCTGGTGCTGGTGTCAAGCCTGCTCCTCTGCAAGAATGTGGCCTCCATGCCCCCCTGTCCCAGCGGGCTGTCAACTGCGAAGTGGCCCTCGGAGACCTGTTTGATCATGCAGTCATCCTATCTCACTACATCCATAACCTCTCCTCTGAAATGTTCAGTGAGTTTGTAAGTATCATGCTTCTTGGTTCTTCCCAGATGGAACCTTCATGTGAATGATTGAGCTATTTCACACTTTAAACAAGAAAGCCACACAAGCCAAATTTCAAATAATGTACCTTAAGGGTCAAAGAAGGCATCCGTAAATGAAATGAGGAATAAGAAGAAAGGGACAGTTTCAGGAAATCCCAAAGATTTTTTAAAAATGTATTTTTTAATTTCCTTTAATTCATTTTGTTTTTAAGAATTTCCAAAAATGCTTAAGCATCCATACTAGTCATCTGAGGCTGCCGTACAAAATACATACATCTTAAATAACGGAAGTGTATTTTCTCATATTTGTGGATGCTGAGACATCAAGGTGCCTGAATGGTCAGATTTTAGTAAGAGCTTTCCTCTTCTCAGCTTGCCTTCTCACTGTCTCCTCACATGAAGGCTCTGGGAGATGAAGAGAGGGACAGAGAGAGCAAGAGAATGAGAATGAGAATTAGAGCTAGAGAACTGTCTGGTGTCTCCTCTTATAAGGACAGTAATCATAGTGGATCAGGGCTCCACTTTCAGGACCTTAATTATCTCCATAAAGACCTTACTTCCAAATACAGTACATTGGGGATTGGGGCTTCAACATCTGAATTTGGGAGGGCAGGGGAGACAAACACTTGACATAAAACACTTTTAGGTAGGGCTGAGGAGAAGAAAGCATGTTGATTTCTTGTCCTTGCATGTAGGGTATATTTCTCCCAAGGCATTCTTCACTGCAGATATATAATAAATGAGAATTGCACTGCAATGAATTGTGTGTGTTGGACAAAGTTAAACTAAACTGAATGCATGTTAGGAAAATAAAACAAGTAATAATAGTTAGCTGTTCTGAAACTCAAAAATGCTATGAATTAGTGTTCTAAGATTTCCAGGTTTAGAACTACAATAGGAAGATTAGTTTAGAACTGGAAACAATTATTTTCTTTCTGATTAAGGTACTTTGGAAGTCGTATGTTAACTCTTTTAGGTCAATCAAAGATCAGACAATGGATTAGAACTTCAATAAATCAAAGAGTCTCCATGAAGAATGTGGTTTAATGTTTATAATAAATGTATATTTATATAGTTATTTTTCACACTAATTGTTATTTTATAGATTTTTGACTGGCCATTTTTTGTCTTCCAAATATTTCTAGTAATCTCTTTAAATTTCCACAATGTTTGCTAATGATTGGTTTTTCTCTGTCAATGTGTTAGCATAGACTTTTCTGTTCTTATTCTCAGTCCATTGCTTAATATTTTTTTGTTTTTCTGATTTATCACTTCATCATGATCAGCAAATTGTATTCTGCAGCTACGATGAAGATTGTATATAGTTGTATAGATTTAGAGATTAGTCAAAGAAAAGTTTCAATTTTATAATACCCATTAAAGGAGTGTATCCATTTGGTCCTACATAATCAAGAGTTTAAAATGGCTAAATATAGGCTCATATGCACAATCACATTTGTTTCAAGTATTAAAGAAAGATGATACTTAATAAATATTTAATATTTCACATTCCTTATATTTCTAGTATTTGCTTTTCATATAGTGTTGCATAAAAAGAATAAAATTAAGGAAATAGCAAAAAAAGGAAGAACTTGGAATTTAGAAAAGTTAGTTGAAATAGAACTGTTTATAGATATAATGGAAAGAAAGGGTAGGAAAAAGGGCAACTTTCTTATTTCTTTAGTTTTATTTTTTGTGGCTATAATTTTTTAAGAATTATACAACTATCAAAGGTGTTAATATTTTAGAACTGGGTTTAATTGATTTAATGCTCAAACAACCCTCACTGAATTTGCTCTATCACTCTCAGAATAAACAGTATGCCCAGGACAGGTGGTTCTTTACCAGGGCCATCAATGGCTGCCACACTTCTTCAATCCCTACCCCCGAAGACAAGGAGCAAGCCCAAAATATGCATGTAAGTCTTTTATCCAGGATTCTCACCAAAACAACAGAGGCAGTACACTGGTATTTCCATGCTGCAGATTATTAGAGGCATTAGAATGGGCAATGGTAACTGCACTTGCTGGGCAAGGAGGAAGAAGAGTAAGCAATCAAAGAAAAATAACATTATATAGTTGGTAAATTATCAGTAAAATCAAATGCTGACTAAATATTGTAGCAGCAAAATAAATAACAGCCCAGCCAGTGTTGCTCAGACCCATGCATCAAGAGATGGCTAGTTCAATTCCTGGTCAGGGCACATGCCTGGGTTGAGGGCTTGATCCCTGGTGAGGGGCATGCAGAAGGCAGCCAATTGATGTTCTCTCTCATCGATTTTTCTATCTCTCTCTCCCTTTACCTTCCTCTCTTTCTAAAAGAACAATAAAAATATGTTTAAAAATAAATAAATAAATGTAACAGATCTATAAATTGGCCATGCAGACATGATGGCAACCAATGCTTAGACCCAGGACTGCATATATTATACTATGTGAAAGCATTAGCAGAATTGGACTTCCATGTGTAAGATATAAGGTTTGAAAAAAAATATGGATATGTAAGAAACACAAATCAGTTTTATTTATGACACGGGCTCCTATAAGGACAGCATTTCGCATTTCTGACCACTACACCATCTGAGCCATCTCTTCTGGACTTTCAAGGCTCTCCTTCTGATCCTCCTACTTCTCTGACACCTACTTCTTTCTTCCTTTCTTCATTCTTCACTCACTCCTCTGCCAACTCTTACTTCTCAATAATAAGCCTCACCTGAAAGCAGATCCTGTAAAATATTGTTTTGCTTCTCATGATTATGGCCTCTGTTCTGATGACAGCAATGTCTGCATATCAAGCCCCAGTCATTTATCCCAGCTCGAATTTATTATTATCATCTCCCTTCTGATTTCCTGCCATAACCACAGTTAACACGATTTAAAAGAAACATCTTCACATATATAGCCCCATAAATTCAATGTGTTCTTTCCTTACAACTTTGTTAATGGTACCCGCATTCTTTCTGTCTGCTAAGCCTATTAATAAATAATTATAATGATGATAATGATAATAATAATAAAATAAAGGAAGAAAGTGAAAATGGGGAGGAGGAAGAAGAGGGGTTAAATTTATTGATAGCTACTACATTAGCGGACACCTTACGAAGCACTTTATGTGCATTACTATATTTGATCCTCATAAAAAATCCTCTAACACAAGGTGCTGTTATTACACTTATTGAGGTAAGGAAATCATGACTTGGAGAGCTGATGGAATTTACACCAGTTACATGGGTAGTAAACAGTGAGTCTGGGCTTCATCCAATTCAAAACTCTTTTTATTGTTATGCTACAATATGTCCATTGTGGGTTCCTTTAATGCTGTTATTAATGACAGATAGCAATGTTCCATTTTATTCACCAGGATATGTCAGTAAATACAGTGCTCCGAGAGCAGTGTGGGGGCAGGAGTTGGTGTGGACTAAGGAGCGCATGTTTCTGTATATCGTATCTTCTTCATTGTCTCTTTGTTCCAATTTTATAAAATAAAACTACAAGTCACAAAACAATGCATTAATGAATAATTTGATTCATTGATAAGAATGTATCTTTAAATGAAATTATTTGGGCTCTTTGTCATTGACACTGGTGGACTCTACGTTTCCTGAGTCAGGAAAGGCGCTTCTGGAATTCCAGCATAATTGGTTTTTCCCCACAGAAAGGCAAAGCAGTCAAATAGGAAAGAATTCTCTGTGTGGGGAAAATGGTAGAATTTCAGAAGAAAAACAAAAGTCTTCATGTCATAAATTAGAACTATCATTAAAAGAAACAGTTACTTAGGCCAGATTTTTAAAAATTTATCTAAGTATAAACCAATAGCTTAAATTTTAGATTTTTACAACTTGGTCCTTCCTACAAACTATACACATGTAGGAATAACAAAGATATAGTTAAGCAGCCTCTCCGAGCAAAAATCACATGTCACCCATTGTACTATGCTTATTTTAATGCGATTATTTTAATGGTTGCTTAGCACGAAGACCTTCTGAACCTGGTCCTCAGAGTGCTGAGCTCCTGGAATGAGCCTCTGTATCATCTAGTCACGGAAGTGCGTGCTATACAAGAAGCCCCTGGTATACAAGAAGCCCCTGGGACCCAAGAAACCTTTGCTATGCAAGAAGCCTTTAGTACACAAGAAACCCTTAGTACGCAAGAAGCCCTTAGGACACAAGAAACCCCGAATGGCATCCTATCAAGAGCCATAGAGATCGAGGACCGTAACAAACAGCTTCTAGAGGGCATGGAGAAGATAATCAACCGGGTAAGCAGCCTCCTGACACTCCTTTGTTTTTCTCATTAAAGAAAGAAGTGAGCCCTGTGAAGAGGAATACATTTTGAAATACCTCACTCTGTAAGAACAATGTTTAGGCGTTTTATATTCTACACTGCTATTAAATAAAGCAATAGTAATTTGTAGTGATAGGGTCTACTGTAAGTGGATCTTAGCATTCCACTGTCATATCTGACAGGTGCAGACTTCCCTACACTGCACACCAATCCATCCAAGCCTTGGCGCTTCTTGGGGACAGGCAGTGAAATAATTTCAATGGAAAGAAACTGGAGAATAGAATCTGCAAGAGAAATGTTTTCCTCAAAGTATTCTAGGACACCTATTATTGACATTCTGCTCATATTCTTCCTCTTTTCTCCCCACATCAAAACATGAGAGGACGGAGAAAAGAGAAAATAAAAATCAGGTTGGATGGTGTCTATCTCCCGCTCCCCCCTCCCCCCTCCCCACCCACCCACTCTGCTAGACATTGTTTGGGAAGGAAGGAGATAGAAAAGATGAGACCATGGCATTGATGCTGCTCAACAACCACTATAATTTCAGTGGGCTACAAAAGAAAGAGGTATATCTTTTCTAAAATGTTCTTTATTTTCTAATTTATAGAGTTGCATCATTCTAAATCTTAGTTGAGTGGGGCTTCAAAAATGAAATTGACACATTGCATTTGATCTCCCCAAATAATTTGTCATATTTAGATTGAGGTTATATTTGCAATACAAATCTCCATTTAGATGGGATCATTTCAATACAAGTGAGGTAATATCAAAACAGCTTTCTGAAGTTCTAAGAAATAATTTATCATCATCTAAAGAAAAATATATGATCATAAAAATAACAGGAGAAATTTTATGTTTTTATTGTATACAAAGTACTTGTTAACATGTGTCATTTGGTCATTTTCATAGGAGAAGAATATATCAGATACAAAGTACATTTTACCCTTGGAAATACAAAGTACATTTTACCCTTGGGACATAAGTAGTAAACACATAGATTTTCAAGTGATTTTCTTCATCACTGTGGGCCTACTTTCTGAGGTCACTAATTTGTTCTATAATACTTCAATTTTAGTTCTTTTTTAAAAAACACACAACACATATTTATTTATTCTTGTTCATATCATTATCCCTGGCATAGTATATTTTGTCATAGGGGTCAAACACACACACACAAAAAACACACACACAAAAAAAACAAACAAACAAAAAAACACCAAACAAACAAAAAACACCAAAAAAACAGCAAACCAACACACACACACACACACACACACACACACACGCTAGTCTTAGCCTTAAAACATCAAGTACAATCCTCATCATATCCTTCTCTGGTACATATTCTATATGGAGAATATAATCTGTTCAAAGCAGGTAAAAGATCAATGTGACCTGTCACATTGTGACCTGCCAGAACAAATAAAGTCCACAGTGCACATTAGAGACAAAGTCAGAAAATGAAGAAGTTCCTCAAGTGAGAGAACGGAGGACAGCTCCGCATTGTCCCTTTGTCACATTCATGTCTACATTCAAATAGCAACTTTCTGGTTCTCCATCTAGCATAGGCACACTTCATCTACAATCACATACATATGAGAAAGCTTACACTTGAGTTCTGCTTCTAGTTTTTACACTATAAATAGACTTCTGATACACTGGCTCAGTAACCCATGCCTCTGTCTGGAGAGTTTTACATTCCTATCTCTTCCATAAATCTTAATTCAACAATTAGAAAGAGCAAAGATAAGCAAATAATACTAATAATGTCACTATCTTTTTCGTTATTAGGTTCAACATGGAGTCAGAAGAATTGAGGCCCCCTCTCCCTGGTTGGGACTTCCATTTCTGCAAGAGGCCGATAAAGACACTCGCCTTTTTGCTTTGTATGAGCTGATCCATTGCCTACGCAGGGATTCGCATAAGATTGACAACTATCTCAAGCTCCTGAAGTGCCGAATCATCTACGATAGCAACTGCTAAGCTCACATCCATTCCATCTGTTTCTGGAATGGTTCTTAATGATCCACCCCATAGCAAGCTTCTTTTAGTTTTATGGCTTTTTAATGCATGCTTGGTGTAATGAGTCTTATCTTAAAAAATAAAAACTGACTTCTTAGAAATGTCAAAATCTACAAGAGCAATTTGTCAAAGTTTCTTATCTTCACTTAATAGAAAATCAAAAGAAAATTAATCACTATCATTGAGAAGTTCCTATTAAAATTTGTCACAAATAGCAGAACTAGCATTACAAATAAGACAATTAACAGCTTACTTTAGAATCACAGTAAATCATTGTGAGTCAAGTTATTAGAATCAAAGAATTGGATAATTATTAATCATGCTGGTCATGCTAACAAGAAGATTGAAATTCTCAGGATTCTTTCTAAAAGGCAGCCATATCCTATCAGCTAACTTTCACAGTATTATGACAGACAATTTAAATACTATGAAATTGTAATGCACCCAAGGAGCATGAGGTTTACTAAACAGTCTCAAATTATCAGGATGCTGTCTTAATCTGTTCAGGCTAACACCACAGACTGGGTCACATATAAATGACAGAAATTTAGCTCTCCCAGTTCTGGAGGTTGGAGTACAAGGTCTGGGTGCCACCATGGTGGGGTGAGGACCCTCATCTGGCTCCCAGACTCCTCATTGTATCCTCACATGGCATAAAAGGTCAGCGAGCTTTGTGGGTCTCTTATATAAGAGCACTAATTCCATTGACAGGGGCCAAAGCTCATAACTTAAATCCCAAAAACCCCACCCACTAGCACCATAACCTTTGGGGATTAGGGCAACAACATATGAATTCTGGGGTAACATAAACATTCAAACCATGGCAGATACAAAGATGAAATGGCCTTATCCTTCTCCAGTGGCTGTCTTCAACCATGCTCTACTGAGTTCCCATCTGCTTAGTACCATCTTGGGCACATGCCATATGTTTTAATAGCTCTGGGTCTAACAAGTCCCATCCAGACAAATTTCAACTCCATCCCATATGTAACCTCTTTAATGTTTTTCTCTCCCCTATTATGGCTCAGGAACCTAATGGGAAAAGTAGATGTGGTCTATTTCTGCAAGATTTCTTTTCACTCCCTCTTCTGAATCTCCTTTCCTTGGCTGTGCTGGATGAGATAGAGGATGAGGAGAGATGAAAAGTTTTGACATCATGATCTTATGTGGTGCTTTTGTAGCCTTCTCATTGCTGACGGGGACTAAACCTGAATTCCCTCTGAGTGGCAAGTGTCTCTCTTGTGATTTTCCAGGACATTTACAAGTGGGAACACCCCACTCTATAGTGTATCAGGGTAATTGCTCTGGCTCCATTCTTCTCTCCACCCCACAGCTCTGACACTTGCAGCATTCTCCACAGCCTCTTCTGTTGTTCCCTGGTCCCGCAAGCACCCTACTGTAGGAAACTGGCTCAAGGTCACCTATCTACCAACCCTTGCACAGGAAACTCAGGCCTCATAATCACTCTAAACCACTGAGTGCCAATAATACTGGATTGCTTCTGACCCCTTCCCTGGGGTCTCTTCACAATTCTCTTCTCTACCTCTTTGCATTGACACAGAATGGGTCAGGATACTGGATTCGGAAGCAGATATTAACCTGAGGAATTAAATGCCATTCTCTCTTTCTTTGAGATCCAATGAGTAATTATCTCTGTTAATAACTATCTTAGAGAGTTGGCATTACAAATATTCCCTACTCACACACTGAATTACAGCACCCTCCTCATACACTTAATCTTCTATTGATGAGTCTCAAGAGGGGTGACTAGATTAGGGCAGCTCAGCTTGTTCAACGGCCTCTAAACAACCTGTGATAAGGGTCTATCTCTTGCTTGCTCTCCTTAGAAAGCAACAGCATTGCCAGGCTTCTTTGCAGCAACTTTTTAGGATTTTAGCAGGATTTCCTCGACAATAGACAATAAGAAATATTCCACCCAACATCCTGATAGAGATGAAATAAAAAGGTAGATAGAAAGGGGAATAAAGAGGAAAAAAGGAAGAGGAATATAAAGGAAAGGAAAAACATGAAGAGAAAAAGTGAGTAGAAGACATTGTTTGTGAAGTATAAGCTGCTATTAGAAAACTCTATTTGGTGAAGACCTAAATTTTTATACCCTAAGAGCAAATATCTCAATTTCCTTTTAACTCCCTTTCATCTTCTTTCTTCCTTTCCAAAATGTCCCTGTGTATTAGGGAGTATTCTTTGCCCTTAATAATTGATTTGCAATAGTTCTAGAGATGAACGGAACATGGCACCTCCTCAGATCAGAATTCAAGGCATTTTTCTTCTGCCATGCAAAGAACCCTTTCTCCCATATATGGAGACATTGTCTACCAAACCCAATCTCTTCCCTAATAGCCAGGGCTATTTTTGTCTGAGTCCTCCTCCTGCCTCTAGCTGAGATGACCCAAACCTTTCAGAATACAACAGAAATATTGTGTCCCACATCAATCTAGCAATCTCTCCCTTTGATCCTGCATGCATGCAAAATGCCAGCTTTCTCATATTTCAGCTCTTTTCTTTTAAAAGGCATGAGAGTATGGAAAAACCTTTATGCATTTTAAGTCATTTATTGCTAAAAACATCTAACTATTGTGTCACCCACCTCACTTCCTTTTCTTCAATATCTAGATGTTTTCAACAGAGAGGATAGCATTTATCAGGGTGAAATTTGTCAATAAGAGGACAATGCAATTGTATGACACATAACTTTACCACTAGCCCACTCACATCTTCATGTATTTTTCTCTTAAAAGTTTATGCCAAGCACAGATAAATAACTGATGGTGGTATTAAAAGGCCTCTCCCTGTTGACCATGACATGTGAACTGAATACTGTAGCTTTCAGACCAGATTGAGCAGAGACATGGGTATTCTGTAGAGTCAGCAAGGGGTAGCTAGAAAGAGGATATTTGGGGAAAATATAACTATCACTCCCCTGCCAACCAGAGTGAGTCTCTCCCCCACCCTCTCTTTTTACAGATTTCCATGTAAAATTACATTATCAGTAAAACAAATAATAAAAATTGAAAAATAAATTTTAAACATTTTTAAGGAATACACTTTTGGGATAAAGAAAGCAAATCAACTAATGCTTTTTAGGTTTTTATAAAGGTACATTCTTGCTAGCATATAGGGTCTAAAACCTCTCCAACTGCAGTTTATGTTTATACTGAGAAAGAGAACAGAAGAGTGACCTATCCTTGTAACATTAACTGCGGAAGACTTCAGCTACAATAGCCAATTAAAAAAATCCTAAAACTTGTAGGCTAGCCCAGTACTCGGCTACTGTTTATTAAACAAATATTTAGTTAATTTGCTCTTCACCCAGGCACTGTGGCCCGGTTGTGGTGCCTGATTCACATCATTGAGTAAAGCAGGCCAACACTTGCCCTCATAAAATTTACATTCTATAGCTGGGGAAAGACAGACAACCCACAATAAACATGAATAAAGTACATTACATACAGGTTTCCCTGCCACCTAAAAGTAGAGTGTTTCTATGATACCTTTCATAAGCCAAAATGGCATCAAGCGAAGATGCGATTACCGCTACTTTATATGGAAATGTTTTGAGCATTCCTGGCCCAAAATATAACGCATGCACAGTGTCTTTATTTCATTCAATATTATCAAAACACTTAATTAGGTCTAGTTTTATGTTAAGTGTGACACCCTTAAGAGCTTTCTTGTGCTTTTCCGGTACCTTAGAAAACATCTTGCTAACGAATGCACAGAACAAATCGAGATAAAGCACAGATGCTCAGAGACACGGGTCAAAGCTATGAGGGCTTATGCTGGGAGGCTGAGTGTAGCTCCCGAGGAAGGAGCTTGGCAGGGCCGCTCTCGCCGCTCGGGGTGCGAAAGCTGCCTCTGCAACTGCTGGTGCAAAGCAAACATCAAATGTTATTTTTGCTTTTCACCTTTTTTTCTAAAAGCAAAAGTTCTCTTTGGATTTCCTTTTTAGCAAAAACAGTTGCTAATGTAGGACTTTCCTAAAAGCGAAGTGACTGTTAACTCAAACTTTTGAAAATCAGGGATACCTGTAGTATGTAGGTGACCTAGGCCAGTGGTCAGCAAACTCATTAGTCAACAGAGCCAAATATCAACAGTACAACGATTGAAATTTCTTTTGAGAGCCAAATTTTTAAAACTTAAACTATATAGGTAGGTACATTGTTATTAACTTAATTAGGGTACTCCTAAGGCTTAGGAAGAGCCACACTCAAGGGGCCAAAGAGCCGCATGTGGCTCGCGAGCCGCAGTTTGCCGACCACGGACCTAGGCTATGCAAAAAGGTAATAGTGAAGCAGAGTAAGGAGCTTAGGGTGAAAAGGTGGCAAAATGGAAGGGATTTTTAAAGCAGATTAGAACCCACTGAGAGCAACAACCCCTGACTTCCTCTGGTAACTCATACAAACATGTGTTCCTTGCATTCCAGGTTCAAATTTTGTCTTGTCCAGCCAGATTTCTTTCTCTCGTGCACAACTTCAAAAATGTTTCTTTCTCTGAGGCTCTAAGGCAGATATATGTATGTTCTTCAAACTCATGCAAACATAAGTATTCTGAACATTCTGCATCTCTTCAGTTAAATTGAAGATTTTGTAAATTATTTTGGGTTAAACTCCCCATATTAAGTAATTTTTATGCAGCAAATTGTGACAATCTTCTCCTGATTGCTAATCTCCAAACTATTTTGACTTTATAGCAGCCTATCAGTGCCCCAAATTATGTAATTTTAAAATGTTATACATGTATTACTACTTTACTATATTATATCATTAAAATATAAATTCAAGGACAATGATATAAAAATAAATAAAAATAGAAATGCTGACATTTTCTTTCCAAAGGGATAAGGGCACTCACATTTAAGGCCAATGGGCTAGTGGATTCTGTACCCACACACATAATTACTCCACAGTTGTTACTATCATAAAATAATTTATTTTATATAT